TAAACGAACTGCAAGAAGAGCTTTCTCGCCTTCGCATAGCGCGAGCGGGACAGCCTCGAGACTTCACTGATAAAAGCGTCACAAGCCACGAGATGGTATGCTTTTCTAACTAATAATTTTTCAGCTTTGAAGGATTCAAAAAGTTCAGGTTACACTTCGCATGAAAATGGAGCGATCGGAAGTTGAACTCAGCGAGAGAAAAGCTGAATTAGCTCAGTGTCAGGCAAGAATGAGAACTGCAGAAGAGCAAGCAGCTGATCTACGACAACACGTGCAGTTGCTGAAGGAGCAGATCACAAATCGTGAACAGCAGCATACTCTTCTACAAGGGGATGTGAGTTCTACGTTATCAAAATACAATAATCATAATCTGGCTTAATTTCCAAAAAAAGATCTATTGAGTTAATCTGTTTTCAATGTTTTAGAGTAACAACTGAGCCATCTGTCGTAACGAACTCGATTCATATAATAACGCTCATTTATGATTCTTTTCAGGTTGATGCCCTTAGATCTAAATTAGAAGGGAAGAATCAGCAGATGGAACAACGCGACCAACGAATAGAACGGTTGGAAAAGGACCTGGCAAATGCCAAAGGTGAAGTCTCCGAGAAACACGAGCAGGTTTGTTTTGAATTAATTTTTGTTTGTCGTGTTCGCAAATTGCGGAAGTCTGAATGAATCTATATCTGCAGATTCAACAACTGGATCATCGAATCTCGCAGATGATGGGGCGAATTGATGGTTTGGAGACGTCACTTAGAGATAAGGAATCAGAGCTTGACAAAGCAAAAGTAAGTCTGAATTTTAATTGTGAGGAAAGTTAATCAAGGTTTTAGTTGTCTTCTGTGCTTTTTTTGTACAGACATTCCAAGCTTCTATTTATTCTCTTAACATTTAAATTGAAGCCACTTATATCGTAGCAACAGCACAAACTTACTTTTGTTTGATCTTAATTCATGAAATTCTCATCAAATTTTTACTTTTTTGAACGTTGTGCGCTCGCTACTCA